TACCATTATATTGAAAACTACAAAGCCTTGTGGAGATAAACTAAAGATTGTCACTGTCACTGTCACTGTCCTCCCATTGTTCATCAGTTTGTTCGAGTGGGCCCAGTAACGTCTCCATTATGAGACTTGTTACTGTGTTTGGCATGTTGAATATGTCATGGGTAGCTTGCCAGGCTTTTGCTGTGCGGGCGAGATACTCTGGGTAGCTCCGAGAGGAACAGAGGAATCAAACTCAGGTCAGCCAAGTCAGCCGCGTGCAAGGCAAACACCCTACCCGCTGTGCTATCGGGTAGCTCCAACCAATCTAACTAAATGAAGAAATCCTACTATATTCATCAACTATATAAATATATTTATAAACATAGTTTCAGCATAGCACTGTAGCACTGGCCTCCCATAGTTCATTGATTTGCTCGAGTGGGCACCAGTAGTGCCTTCATTGTGAGATTTGTTGTTACTCTTTTTGGCATATCGAATACATCACAGGGAGCTTGCGAGGCTTTGCCGTGATATTTGTAAGTACTTAATATTATTTTTAATTTTTATAAAAATACAACGTCGGTAACCAGGGAAGTAATACAGGGAATAGAGGTGCATTCTTATTGTGTGGTACCCTCAATTTGTTCCCTGGCATAATAGTTTCAGCATAATCCAAATAAAAAGACCAGAATATTTGTGTGGAAATTGGCAAACTGATTCAATAATTCAAAAATTTAATTGATAATGCAAAAGACAAAGGGTCAAAAGAACTTTGAGAAGGAGCAAAAGTTGAGCTGGAGAGAAAGTGCAGTGAGTTGGGCACCTGCTCTGTGCTCAGCTGATCCAGGTTTGATTGCCAGCACTACATAAGTTCCCTGGAACACGTCAAGAGTGACCCCTGTGCGCAAAGGCAGGAATAAGCCATGGGCACCACCTAGTGTGGCCAAAACAAACATAGACAAAAAGAAAGGTGAAAGACACACTCTAAAGCTATTACAATCATTAAGTAGCATTGGCGTAAAATAGGTACACAGAATTATGGAAATCAAGTATTCTTAGAGAACCACACCTGGCATTATTGGGAGTATAAGAGATCCTCTGGTGCCAGTGATTCAACCAGTGTTGACTGCATGCAAGGCAGTCCTGTAACAACTCACCACTCCCAGGGCAATTTACTTTTTTTTTTACTAACATTTTACATTTATTTACTTTTGATTTTTATTTTATTAAAGAGCTGTAACAAAGTTATTGATAGTTGAGTGTTAATGCATATTAAGTTTCAACACCAATCCCAACACCAGTGTCAACTTTCTTCAACTGGTGCTCTCATACTCTGTACTACCACCAACCATCATCACCCTGACTCTGCCTGACACCTTGACTGGCACATTACAATGTTTGGTGCTTGCAGCTTAACTTTCATATTTTCAATGTTGTTGAGTCTGTGCTTTTGATATATGTTTCACTTGATGAAAGCACCAACTAAATGGAAACAAATGTCACTGTCACTGTCACTGTCCTCCTGTTGTTCATCGATTTTCTCGAGCAGGCCCAGTAACGTCTCCATTTTTTTTTTTGAGACTTGTTACTGTGTTTGGCATATCAGATACTCTATGGGTAGCTTGCCAGGCTTTGCCATGCAGGCGAGATTCTCTCGGTAGCTTGCCAGGCTCTCCGAGAGGGGTGGAGGAATCGAACTCAGGCCAGCCATGTTGGCTGTGTATAAGGCAAACACCCTACCCGAAAACAAATAGTGTCAGAAAAACTGGATACCCAACCCTTGCACTTTAACCTTTGTCTCACATAAGGTATGAAACTGAAAAATATAGAGTATAGACATAAATATAAAATCAAAATATATTACACCGGTAGGGCAAAACCTAAGACTTTTGAGCCAGATAAAGATTTTTAAAATAAGACATAAAGTGGGAAACCATCCTGTCCTCTCGTAGGCAGAGGGGGAATGTCTTCTTAGGGCTTTTTCACGTTAAAGAACTGTGATTCACAAATTTATTGATATTTGAGTTTTAGGCATGTAATGTTTCAACACCGATCCCAGAACCAGTATCACCGGTGTTCCCATACTACTTCCCTAAACCAACCGCCACTCTATTTCCACCTATCACTTGACAGGCACATTATAGAGGTCAGTGATTATAGCTTGGATCTCATTTTTCAGTTTTGTTGAGTCTGTGGTTTGGATATGTCGCTATACCACTCACCAATGTCACCAGTATAACTTGGAGCCTGATGCCTGTTCACCCATTTCTTCTCGTTCTTTTGTTCCTTCTTGATTTCTTTCCTTCTCTGTTCTTCTTTCTGAACACTGGGGCTAAGATTAAGTTCCCCAGTTCTAGTCATACTCTTACCTCTTTTCAGAATTCATACTGACAACTCCAAAACCCAGTGAATCATTGCTTGGGCCCCATTAAAGCTAATGTTCACTCCTTATGCAGGCAGGGTCTACAGCCCTTTTTGTCAGCATGAAGACGATCCAGAAGATGAACCTTCACCCACTTTTCTCTTAAAGATTTAAGATGATGAAATCTCTAGGGTGTGATATGAAGCAGGCAAATAGGAACTCCCCTCCCCCTGCCCATCAAGACAATGAATTTTGGGGAAGTCAAAACACCAATTAATCCTAAGACCCACCATGTGGACATCAGAACTAATAAGGCCTTATAAGACCTTCACCTAGTGCCAATACAGACCTAGAGAAGACTGGACATCCCCCTAAAGAAGCTCCAGAAGGAACAAAGACCAGGAAAAGGATACGAAAGAAGGCCATCAGCTAATCCAAACTCTTCACTTTGGCAATCACCTTAGCAATTAATCTTACCTAGGTGGAGAGCTCCATGAAGGGAAAGTTGGGAGAAACCCAATTAAAAACAAACTTGAGCAAAGAAAACATATACATATAATGCCCAAGTGCATGTGCTTTCTCTGTCCAAATGTTGCTGAGCACATATGGTGCCTGAGCACATGTGCCATGTGCAACTCCTTTCTTGTGATGTGTACTTTCATATATATATATATTGTTGGGATGAGTACTGAAGCTCTTTCTCCACTCTAGAGAAACTCTCATTATCTTGTGAGGACATATTTCTATCTTTTCCTACACTCTCTCTCACTCTCCATCCCACTTCCTCAGAACTTCTGAATGAAACCTGTTTTTACTTAAAAAAAGACAAAGCACAAATTATAAAATAAAAAAATTAATAATTTGAATTTCATCAAAGTTAAAACACTTTTGCTTCTCTAAAGACACTGTTGAAAAAACAGAGAACCAAGCCATGACTTACAAAATATGTATAAGATATTTATGCCTGGGATATATAAAAAAACATTTCAAATTTGCAAGTTGTCAAGATTGCTAATTTAAAAGAAGGCCAAAGGTTTAAAAGACAGTTTGCAAAAAACAGATGGCAAGTAAGCTCATTAAACAGCTCTCAACATGAATACTTACCAGAGTGGCCAAAATTCTAAATTTTAAAAACTGATGATATGAAGTGTTAGATCTAGAGCAGCTGGAAATCATGTAATGGTGGGAATGTAAGTGGATTCAAATTACTTGTAAGAAAGTCTTGAAGTTTTTCTAAAAGTTAAAACATGCACTATTTTATCCTCAACATTGTATTTCTAGAAATTTATATGACATAAAAATTCATATCCATAAAATTGTAGAAGGAATTTTCATAGAACGTTCATGTGTGAAAGAAAAAAATCTAAAAAAATACAAATAAGTAAAGGGGAAAAAGTGGCATATTCACAGTGGAAAACTACTCAGCAATAAAAACGAACTACTGGTAGCATATAGTTCATAGAGTGAAATATAAGGTAACATACATGAATCTCAGTATAATTCTTCTGAAGAAAGTAAGACAATACAGAAAGAGAGGGACAGATACAGAAAGATTGCAATCATCTATGGAATATAAAGTAACAGAATAGGAGACTAACTCTCTTGGGTTGGTGTGCCAAATGTAGACTATAGATCAAACACAATGGCCACTCAGTGCCTCTATTGCAAATTACAACACCCAAAAGGAAAGAGAGAACAAAAGGGAATGCCCTTCCATAGAGTAGGTGTGGGGAAAGGGGTGGGGTGGGGCTGTTGGGAGGGCTACTGGGATCATTGGTAGTGGAGAATGGGCATTGGTTGAGGGATGGGTACTCGATCATTGTATAACTGAAATGCAAGCATAAAAGTTTGTAAGTATGTAACTGTACCTCAAGGTGATACACTAATAAAAAAATTTAAACAAAGTAAGACAAAAAGAAAACACATGTCACAGGATTTCATTTATATACAGTTTTAGAAAATGCAAATTTATATGTTATGTCAGAAAGAAATCTGGTGTTTTCGTTTTGGAAAGGAGATAGATCACAGAAGGTTACATGAAAATTTTTGAGAAATTTTGAGGTATTCACTATCTTTAATACAATGAAATAAAAATATTAAATCTATTTAGATATATAATATTGATAGTAACATGCACTATGTATGCTTAATGGGGCAAAACTTCTTTGGATTATCACAATTGATGTAGAATTTCCAAATAGTTACCTTTCTGGGACTCAGATAAAATATTCTTTTTAACTATATTTGTTTAAGTAGTTATGGCTAAAAAGTTATTTTAGGAGGGAGACCACATTTTCCAGACCTAGACCTGTGTATTCTAAGAACAGAACTCCAAGGAGGAAAGAAACTACCCGCATTTTCAAGACACTCTCTTGTCCTACGCACCATTCTTTGATGTCATGAACCTTGGTGCATCAACAATTAACCGTGGGACAAGTCAGAGAGGTGAGATCCTTAGTGGGCTCTTCATTCATTGAGGTCCTTTGGTCTCTGAGATGTGCTAAAAAGTCAACTAAGCTACCCTACTTGGGTATCAACAAGTGAATTGAATCCATGTGGAGACTAATTGTGTTCTGGACATTAGTTGGACATAGAAAGTCCAAGTTGGAGACTGGATCCTCTTAGCTTGGTGATCATATCTAATTTCTTTTGGATTTAGGAGAAGCACCATGACTTGCTATTGAACTTGCAGCTGTTGTACACCGTGGGTTACTCTGTCTCCATTGCTTCCCTCTGCCTGGCTCTCAGTCTTCTCTTATTTCTTCGGTGAGTGAATTATCTCAGTACTTGTTCAGGCACATAATTGAAATTTGTTCATTGACTACCATACAATGCAATAGAAGATCTGAAGGGTTAAAATAGATCTGAGTCTTCATCTATCCATTCCATTATTCAAGTGAAGAAGAAAAGTATAACATGAAACTATTAAGAGTCCCAGTGTCACTCAAAGTCACTAAGTTCACATCTAGAACTGCCTAACTTACTTTGCCTCTTTTGGATTTGGTAACCTCCTCTTTAATCACAAGCATACCATCACTTTCTGTTCTCATTACAGTTCTACATGACAATCTTTTTGTTTCAATTTTATTTTGTAGTTGCACTCAGCAGTGTTTGGAAGCTGTCCTGAGTTTGTACTCAAGAGAAGTTTAATATTGTTACAGAAGATATTAAAAAGCTTTACTAAGGAAAATTAATGAGTAATAGTTTTTAATCCAGGGCCCTTTATTTTCGATTAGTTATCAATCATTTGAGAGTTTTCTAGTGCCAGCCATGGTTAAAAACAAATTCGATGAATAAGTTATTTAAATCTCATCCTAATCTTGGGGGCCAGAGTGATAGTACAGTAGTTAATGCATTTACCTTGCAAATGGCAGACCCACGTTTAATCCCTGATATTCCATATGGTCTGCCACGCCTCATCAGGAGCGACCACTGAGTGCAGAGTCAGGAGTAAGCCCTAAGTTTCACTGGGTATGACCCTAAACACAAACGAAAAAACATCTCTGCGCACTTCCCAGAGCTACTGCCATAGTTTCTGACCCACCAGACTTGCTCGATGCATGATTAAGACCCAAGCCAAGCTGCAAAAATTCATGGGTTCATCAATTTCCGCAGCTGAAAACTCTGGGAGGTTTTCAGCTGCCCACTTCAGGAGGTGGGCAAGACTATGATCTGCCCTGCCAAAGCTGCAGCTGTGCCCATACCTCACTGCTGAAGCAGCTTCAACGGCTCAACTCGACCACTTCACTCGCATTCTCTGCAGAGACACCCAACTGTAAATAATTTCAGGTACCCTGGTGCAAATTCTGAGAACCCTAGGATCTTCTCAGAGTGGGAAAGGAACTCCCCCAAGCCCCATACTTCCTGAAACCTAGGCAGCCATGCCCACCTGCCCACAGTTGCCTCCACGTCAACTCATTGGTTCACACCACAGATATTGAAGTTTCTTTACTGTATAGCTACATAAGCAGCTGCATGACACCCTCTTAAATCTTCAATACTGAAATTCCACTAAGAGCACAGCAAATTACATGGAAACTAGCTAAACTCAACAAACAAAAGCAATAACATCGATGGCTCAATTAGCAACAAAGAGCTTAGTAAATTCTGAAATAAGGATTTAACAATTCTGTGGTAAGATTACCAATTTTCACATAAAATTAATATTTTTATGCTTTAATTAATATTAGACATTTGTTATCTAATCAATTTCAATCTCGAATTGTATCAACAGTAGTGGCTAGGGGGCCAGAGCCATAGTAGGGCATTTGCCTTGCAAACAGCTGACCCGGGTTCGATCCCTGACATTCTATATGGTCACCTGAGCATCTCCAGGAGTAATTCCTGTGTTCAAAGCTAAAACTAATTCCTGGTCATGGCTGTGTGTGATTTATAAAAATATTGTGTCTTTTGTCTACACTAAAATAATTTTTAAAAAAATTAAAAAATATTTCATCTTAATCAAATTTGAGATGAGGTCTAATTCTAAGATACTATTATTATTACCCACATTTTACAGGAAAGTTAACTGAAATAGTAAACTGATAAAGTAATTTACCAAGGTAGCATACCTTGAAAGTGTTGGAATTCAAATTTAAAATCCACCTATTTATAACCTATATATGTTTTGTTCCTTATACTGTGTTTCAAAATCCAAAGCCTGAGTGCATTTTACTGAATTGTGATTTCAGAAATCACCAATTTGTGGATATACTAGGGAGTCCTCCAAGGTCATCTGTAAGTCTTGGCTTCTGAGTACAATAAGCATTCAGTCTGGGGAAAACCATGAGATCTGTATGAGGACACTGGAGACTTGACTGCTAGTGCCAGGTCAACTAACCTCCAAGTCCTCATTTCTACCCCCTCCAACTCCTCAACTGGAGAATGTTCTATGGTTTCTAGACATAGTCAGGACTATTGTCACATTGGAAGGGTGGTTCATCATCTTCTGTTTTGTTTTGTTTAGGGCCTATATCTGGTGGAGCACAGGGATTCCTTATAGGTCCGTGTTCAGGGAATCATTCCTGGAAATGCTTATGTGACCATATGTGGTGCCAGCACAGGCAAGGCAAACATCTTGCCCTCTGAACTAACTTTCTGACCCTGGGATGGTGATTCTTAAGCATTAGCTATACATTTATTGTCTATCCATTGCTATTATCACCTCCATTCACTTATCTAATGTCCCAAAACCAAGCCAGTACCAACTAACTGTCTGGTCCTGTATAAAGTATTTTAAGCTCACCCTGAATTGATAACTATGGTATTTATTTTGCAATAGGTGATGAGAACACCCAGTTCATGCTCTTGAATAGTCCTCAGTATAGTTCAGGAGGATGATATATAAATTAATTAATAACCAGGACTTGTATCAATTCCTTTTTGGATATAAAAAAAACGTTGTAATAATTCTAAGGTCAACCAGGACTGGAGCTGTGAGTGAACAGTGATGAAAAGGACACCTTCAGCTGAAGAGATCAAAGATAAACCACATTATATCAGTTGGTACAAAAAAATAAAATAAAGCTCACAGAAGGCTCTAAGTACAAGAGGGAAAGATAACAAAAACTGACATTTTCTAGGCACATGTGTTTTATGTAGTAGCAGTTTCCTCCCTGATTTAATACTTATAATGCTTTGAAGTAAGCTCTCCTTAAAAAAAAAAAAAGAAACAGACCTTCCTTGAGTTATACTTTGGCTGACCTCAGAGTTCAGGTCTGGATCTCAGGATTACAATTTATAGCTCTGAATTTAAAACATTCATTTCTGCCTCACTTCCATCCTTTATTGAATGAAGACAAAATAGTATCCATTCCTCTAGTGTTCGCAAGGTGTAAGGATACTCATAAATAAAACATGTGTAAATGACATGGGGCTTTTATTAGCAAGTTGAAAATATATACAGATTTTAGTTAATAATTCCATTTTTCAGATTATGAAATTGAGACACAGAAAATGCCCTAGTCATCAATCTCTGGAGCCTACATTGAAAATGTCTGTTATTTGGTGATACACACATTTCTGTTGGTATCGTTATTTCCTGAACAGAGGCTTTTGCTCTCTCCTTGCACAGAAAACTCCACTGCACACGCAATTACATCCACATGAACTTGTTTGCGTCTTTCATTTTGAAAGCCATAGCAGTTCTGGTGAAGGATGTTGTCATCCATAAATCTTACTCGAAGAGGCCCAACAATGAGGAAGAGTGGCTGTCCTACATGTCAGAGGTATGTCTTTATTACCGTTGGCCTTCTACTTAGAGGGCCAATGAAGCCATTAGGACCCAGAATTTTCTTTAAGGTATGGGTTTTAATTATATAATGTAATTATTTTGATATTTTAATATTAATTATCATAATCAGATTTTGTGTTTTTTTTTTTCTGACAGAAATTGTAACATTTTTTCTAGGAATTGTCCACTTTAAATTTATTGCATAAGATTGTCCATAAGTTCTTATATTTTCAGTCAAATGTATTTATAGTTGCATTTCTTTTTTCTTTCTGATTTGATTTGTATGTTCACTCACTTTTTGCCATTTGATCATTATTTCTAGAAGTTTCTCAATTTTATTGCATTGGAAAAAATGCACGCACACTAAGTGGGTCAGAAAGGGGTGAACAACATTCTGCTGCCTGCAAGAAACGCATCTCAATAGTCAAAGCAAACACAGACTCAGAGTCAAAGGCTGGAAAACAATCCTACAGGCAAACAGCTCCCATAAAAAAGCTGGGGTAGCCATCCTTATATCAGACCACATTGATTTCAGAGTGAGGAAGGCCATAAGAGACAGTGAAGGCCATTACTTATTGATCAGAGGATCTGTACAACAGGAAGAACTTACAATAATAAATGTATATGCACCTAATGAGAGACCAGCAAAGTACTTAAAACAACTACTCATAGATTTGGAAAAAGACATCAATAGCAACACAATACTAGTGGGAGACTTCAACACTGCTTTGTCACCTCTTGATAGATCAACCAGACTCAAGCTTAGCAAGGACATACTTCATTTGAGGGAAACAATGGAAGAAAGGGACTTAGTAGATATATACAGGACACTTCATCCACAAAAAGCTGAATACACATTCTTCTCAAGCGTACATGGAACATTCTCCAAGATAGACCACATGCTGAGCCACAAAACATGCCTCCATAAAATTAAGAAGGTACAGATTGTATCAACAATCTTCTCAGACCATAATGCGCTGAAATTAGAAGTAAATCACACACAAAAACAGAAAACTAAATCAAACACCTGGAAATTAAACAGTGCACTATTGAACAACGAGTGGATTAGACAGGAAATCAAAGAGGAAATCAAAAGATTCCTAGAAACGAATGAAAATGAGAACACGAGTTACCAAAACTTATGGGACACAGCAAAGGCTGTGTTAAGAGGAAAGTTTATAGCTCTACAAGCATTCCTCAGGAAGGAGGAGCGAGCACACATAAGTAACCTAACCTCACAGCTTAAGAGCTTGGAGAAGGACCAAAAAAAGGAGCACAACCCGAACAGGAGAAAGGAAATAATAAAACTCAGAGCAGAGATTAACGAGATGGAAACCCAAAAAACAATCCGAAAGATCAATGAAACCAAGAGCTGGTTCTTTGAGAAAATTAACAAGATCGATAAGCCTCTAGCAAAACTCACAAAGAAAGGGAGAGAGAAAACCCTAATAAACCGAATCAGAAATGAAAAGGGGGTCATTACAACAGAAACCACAGAAATTCAGAGGATCCTCAGGGAGTACTTTGAGAAGCTTTATGCCACGGAACATCAAAACCTCGAGGAAATGGATAAATTCCTAGACTCCTACAGACTCCCAAGGCTGAACCAAGAAGACCTGGAATACCTGAACAGACCTATCACCATCAAGGAAATTGAAATGGTAATAAAAAGTCTCCCCAAGCACAAAAGTCCTGGCCCGGATGGATTCACTAGTGAATTCTTCCAAATCTTTAAAGAGGATTTACTCCCAATACTCTTTAAGCTTTTCCACGAAATTGAAATATCAAAAACACTTCCAAACAGTTTCTACGAAGCAAATATCACACTGATACCAAAAGCAGACAGAGATACCACAAAGAAAGAGAATTACAGGCCGATATCCCTGATGAACACAGATGCAAAGATCCTCAACAAACTACTAGCAAATAGAATCCAACTACTCATCAAAAAGATCATACACCATGACCAAGTAGGATTCATCCCAGGGATGCAAGGATGGTTCAACATTCGGAAATCAATCAACATAATCCACCATATCAACAAAAGAAAAGATAAAAAGCATATGATCATATCAATAGATGCAGAGAAAGCATTTGATAAGATCCAGCACCCCTTTATGATGAAAACCCTAGCCAAAATGGGTATAGAGGGGACCTTCCTCAACATAATTAAAGCCATCTACCACAAGCCTACAGCAAGCATCATCCTCAATGGGGAAAAACTGAGAGCCTTCCCTCTAAGATCAGGGACGAGACAGGGATGCCCACTCTCTCCACTGCTGTTCAATATAGTACTGGAAGTACTTGCAATAGCGATTAGGCAGGAAAAAGATATTAAGGGCATTCAGGTAGGAAAGGAAGAAATCAAGCTCTCACTATTCGCAGATGATATGATACTCTACTTAGAGAACCCAATAACTTCCACCAAAAAACTCTTAGAAACAATAGACTCGTATAGTAAAGTTGCAGGTTATAAAATCAATACCCAAAAGTCCATGGCTTTCCTATACGCAAACAGTGAGAGAGAAGAAAGCAACATGAAAAAAACAATCCCATTCACAATTGTGCCCCAGAAAATCAAGTACCTAGGAATCAGCTTAACTAAGGAAGTAAAGGACCTGTACAAAGAAAACTACAAAACGCTACTTCAGGAAATAAAAGAGGACATGAGGAAATGGAAAGATATCCCCTGCTCATGGGTCGGGAGACTTAACATTGTCAAAATGGCAATACTACCGAAAGCATTGTATAAATTCAATGCAATCCCTATAAGGATACCCATGACATTCTTCAAAGAAATGGAGCAAACACTCTTGAAATTTATATGGAACAATAAGCCCCCACGAATAGCTAAAGCAATTCTTGGGAAAAAGAAAATGGGAGGAATCAACCTCCCGAACTTCAAACTGTACTACAAAGCAGTAATAATTAAAACAGCATGGTACTGGAACAAAGGCAGAACTGCAGACCAATGGAACAGGGTTGAATACACTGACATCTCTCCTCAATCATATGCTCATCTAATCTTTGATAAAGGTGCAAGTAATGTGAAGTGGAGTAAGGAAAGCCTCTTTAATAAATTGTGTTGGCATCACTGGATGGCTACATGCAAAAAAATAGGCTCAGAACTCTGCCTAACACCATGTACAAAAGTAAGATCAAAATGGATTAAAGACCTCAACATCAGACCAGAAACCATAAGGTACATTGAAGATAAAGTTGGCAAAACCCTCCATGACATTGAAGCTAATGGTATCTTCAAAGATGCCACGCCACTGGCCGAGCAAGTGAAAACAGAGATAGATAAATGGGACTATCTTAAACTAAGAAGCTTCTGCACCTCCAAAGAAACAGTGACCAAAATACAAAGACAGTCTACAGAATGGGAAAGGATATTCACCGAATACACATCTGACAAGGGGTTGATATCCAGGATATACAAAATACTGGTTAAACTCCACAAGAAGAAAACATCCAACCCCATCCAAAAATGGGGCAATGAAATGAACAGAAACTTTCTCAAAGAAGAAATCCGAATGGCAAAAAAGCACATGAGAAAATGCTCTACATCATTAATCATCAGGGAGATGCAGATCAAAACCACAATGAGATACCATCTCACACCTCAGAGACTGGCCCACATTCAAAAGAACAAAAGCAACCGATGCTGGCGTGGATGTGGCGAGAAAGGGACACTCCTTCACTGTTGGTGGGAATGTCCACTGGTTCAGCCCTTCTGGAAAACAGTATGGACGATTCTCAAAAAATTAGAAATTGAGCTCCCATTTGACCCAGCAATACCACTCCTGGGAATATATCCCAGAGAGGCAAAAATGTATAGTCGAAGTGACATCTGCACTTGTTTGTTCATTGCAGCCCTCTTTACAATAGCCAGAAACTGGAAGAAACCTGAATGCCCAAGAACAGATGACTGGTTAAAGAAACTTTGGTACATCTACACAATGGAGTACTATGTAGCTCTTAGAAAAGATGAAGTCATGAAATTTACATACAAGTGGTACAATATGGAAAGTATCATGCTAAGCGAAATGAGTCAGAAAGAGAGGGATAGACATAGAAAGATTGCATTCATCTGGGGGATATAAAGTAACAAAGTATGAGATTAATACCCAAGAATAGCTGAGATCAGCACCAGGAGGATTACTCCATATCTTAGAGGCCAGCCGGGTATCCTAGAGGAAAGGGCTATTCAGATAGAGAAGGGAGCACCAAATAAAGGATGTTTGGAGGATCCTCCCAGGAGGGGAGATGCATGTCGAAAGTAGACTATGGACTGAACATGTTTGCCACTCAAAGCCTCTTTTGCAGACCACAACACCCAAAAGGAGAGAGAGAACACAGGGGATTGCCCTGCCACAGAGACGGGGGGATGGGGGGATGGGGGTGGGAGGGATATTATCCATGGTGGTGGAAAATGGGCACTGGTGGAGGGATGGGTATCTGATCATTGTATAATTGAAACCAAAGCACAAAAAATTGTAAATCTACAACTTTAAAAAAAATAAAATAAAATAAAGGGGAAAAAAAAAAAAAAAAAAAAAAAAGAAAGGGGTGAAGGCATTGGATAGTCAATTTGAAATACTTTTTCTAACATTTTTTTACACAACACATATGATAATTGTTTTTTAGCCTATTTGTTTCATAATGAATGTGTGTAATTTCTATTTGGACAAAGTATTAGCTTCAATTACTACAGCACAATTCAGTTATTTTTCTTACATTTGGTTTGGAAATCAATTCTTATTTGTTATCTTGTTTGATTTATCTGTTGTTTAGAAATTTTGTTGCTAATTTCCTGAGATATGAAGACATTTTTAGTTATTTCTAGATTACTTGAATTAATATTAGTGTTTCCTGGATGATGATTTGGACATTTTACCTAAAAATGCATACCATGTCAAAGACAATTGGGACTTTATACCTGCACAAAACTTGCCTGTTTTTGATACTATTGATAACCTCTCTGAAATAGGCTGTAGGAGAGAGTGGATAAGAGGGAGAAAGGCTCTTATCAATACTTGGGGGTTCAAATAGTGTGAAAACTTAAACTCACCCACGGGTTTTTTGTATGCGGCAGGTATCCGTCTCCTGCCGTTCAGTCCAGATTCTCCTGCACTACTTTGTGGGCACCAATTACTCATGGCTGCTTGTTGAAGGACTTTACCTCCACTGGCTACTTGAACCCATTGTGCATTTTGAAAAGTGGCTTTGGCCCAGATACTTTCTGGTGGGATGGGGTGAGTGATCTGAATTTTCATTTTCTTCTGAAGCTCTACCAGAATGGAGTTAGAGACTACACACACACACACACACACACACACACACACACACACACACTCACTCACACATACCATACTCTAGATTTGAAGCATATATCTAAATATTGAGAATGTTTATAAGATTATTTTCCTTTTCTCTAAGCACATGTATATTGATCTACTGGGGATGATGACATGTTTGGGAAGTTTAAGACCAGCATGTAGGTCATGGTAGAATTCTGGAAAAGGTCCTCTTCCTGGCTTTCTGACTTGCAGCTTTCTTGCTGCTGCCTTAGTCTGAACTCTTCATCTAAGGATATTAACCTCAAATAATGACTCCCCCCCACCAACATACACACACACACACCACCATTTTCCACATCTAGGTACCTCAAACTTACTAGATATAATAATTACTTTGGAGTCTGAGCCAAGTAAAGACTCAGGATGAGGTTTGAAATCCCTGTTGTAACAAAGTCTTGTGGAAAAACTGAGTCTACAGGATTCACAGGAAATAACCATATTCTTCAATTCAAATTTTTTGTAATATCTTTGGAGCTACTTTAAACAGTTCTGTGAAGTGTGAGATAGCCAATTTTCTTTTTGGTTCCAGTTTTTCTAAGAGTAAAATAATGTATTAAGACATCTCTAGCTTTTACAGTTAACAATTCCATAAGTTAGAGTTTTTCTAAGTTTTAAACATATGATTCTGGCTATTCAAATAGGACTAATGAAGTAGACATGATTGAACAATTATCGTCTAACTACATTTTCCTGGTTTTCCCCAGCTTTCCCAGTGCTTTTTGTTGCACCATGGGGTATTGTCCGTGCAAAATTGGAGAACACAGGGTAGGTAATTCACCTATATTTTACAATTCCACGAATCAGTGATTCCATGTATTCCATAATCTAAAGAAATATTTTATTTTTATCCATCACATTTTGCTCTAATGCCTCCAGTGGTACAGGGCCAAAGTAACATCTTATAGCCAGTCCCAAGCATTTAACCACTAGTCTCACAGAGCTAGGCTGAGTAGCACTAAGAATTACCCCAGATCCTTGAGCAATACTTGAAATATTGACCCCCATCCCCACTGAAAAATAATCAAAGATTTTTTTAAATGATAGCTTGTTAATTAAGTCATATACAATAATATGCATATTGGCATAAAATTAGCACAAGAATTAGTGACATAGACTAGAGCAACCCTAGTGTTATAAAATTATGTTTATTGTGGGGCCAGATATATAGTAAAGTGGCTACAGCATTTGCCTCTCATGGTCTGACCCAAGTTTAATCCATGGTACCTAATATTGTCCCTGAGCCCTCTAGCAATGATCCCTGAGCACAGAGTCAGAAGAAAGCCCTGAGCACTATGTAGCAAAATATCCAAAAAGAAAAGTATATTTATTGTATGCGTAGGGGAGGTTTGGAACTAAATAAAATGTTGAAGTTTCAAAAGATTAAAACTTCAAGTTATCAGATGGCATGAATGTGATACACATGTTAATAAATATGAAATACATAGTTATACTGTTTTATATTAAAAATTCTAAAATACTAAAAGTTCTCATCATGAAAAATTATAAATATTGTTGGTGATTGATGTGAAGTAGACTCATTGTGATCATCATTTCACAACATAAAATTCAATATACATATTGAATCATTATATTGCATATTGAAAATCAATAATGTTACACGTAGCATCTCAAATTAAAAATAAAAAACAGGAAGTTCAATCATGAACAACCTTGTAACTGTGTATCTCATGGTGATTCAATAAAATAAATAAATAAAATAAAAACCCAAGTAAGTTTTAAAAAATGTTGACCACAAAATAACATTGAACAAAGTGTATCTTTTGTGTATTGTGGAATATCATGAAACTACTAAAACTATTTCTATATATTTTGGTCTCTAAGGACAGGATATAATCAGCATGTTATTAGGCATATATAGGTTATGTGAGCTCATATTTTTCCCTTAATAGTAACTACAAAAACTAATTCCCTAATCAGTAGGTTAGGTTTGTATGAAAATGGAGAGAGATGTAGAAGGACACTACCAACCTATTGAAATTAAGAATACTTTAATGGTTAAGAAAAGTCAATTGACTATATGAAAAGAAAGGGATTTTAGTCCTCCTCCTCTCCCCATCCCTCAATATGATGATGGGTGGAATAAAACTAAAGGAAAATTGAGCTTTCACACTCAATCTTGTCTCAATTAAAAGAATCTTCTTTTGCTTTCTCTATATCTTAGATGCTGGGGAAACAACAATAATATGAAAATATGGTGGATCATTCGAGGACCTATGATGTTTTGTGTAGCGGTAAGGACCTCCAAACCACCCTCTATCCTCTCTGAACACAGAACTTATCATGAACCCTGACCCCCTCGAGGATATCCCATGTACACCCTACACCCAAATCTCTAGCTCAGGAGAGCCTAGGTGAGATTTCTTGAAAGGGAGAAGCTGAGCTATATTTAGGATCTGTCAAAGCAAAGAAAAAAAATAAACTTGGAAACACCTTCTCTAGTTAAGAATCAAATTTGGTGTTATTACAAACAATCTTCTGTCTGGGTCTTCAAATTTTATGAATCTCTGAAAGATATTTCATTTTAAAAAGAATTTACTGTGACTAGAGAGATAGTACAGAAGGTAAGGTCCTTGCCCTATGCAAGGTTAACCCAGGTTCAATCCCTGGCATCCTACGTGGTCCTTGGAATACACAGAAGTGATTCCTGAGTGGGAAACTGAGAGTAACCTCTGAGTATTGCCAAACAAATAAAAAAATTTAAAAAATTCAAGACACTAAGGATACAGGAGCCTTTTATTCCTGAATGAAGTTGGGGATCACAGAATTATTGGCTCCTATTTTGACACTATGAAGCAATAAAGGAAGACCTCAAAGAGAGAAGAGCAGCAGTGCTGGCAGATGTGGCAGAAGCAGAGAAAAGCATTCGCAAGGCCCACCAACTACAAGACCAAGATGACTGCCCTCCAAAGTCCTGATGGATCTATCACATCTTCCAGAAGGGCAATGGAGAAGATTATCCATGACTTCTACTCGGATCTCTTTGAAGGCCATGTCCGCTTGCCCACATACCAAATTTTACAGGATGGATATGTCGTTCCCAACGTTCTCCCTTCCAAAATCTAACACACCATTTCATCAGTAAAGAAGCAAGCAGCACCCGGCCCAGGCAAGGTCAGATTCGAACACCCAAAGAACCTGCCATCAGTACTCATCAATACCCTGACTTGGCTCTTCACACGCTACCTGTCTGAATGCAAGGTTCCATCCAAATGGAAAACCAGCATGACTGTACTACTGTACAAGAAGAGAGACATCCAGGACATTGGCATCTATCACCCTATCTGCCTGTTGTCTGTCGTCTACAAGCTGTTCACTCAAGTCATCCTGAATAGGATTGGCAGAACACTAGATGAAGGATAACCATGAGAGCAATCTGGGTTCTGGAAAGAATTCAGCACAATCTACCATATCTACATGATAACAAAGCTCATTGAGGTTTCTCAGGAGTTCAAGATGCTGATCTGTCTAACATTCCTTGATTTAAAGAAGGCCTTTGATTCTGTTGAGATGGAAGTGGTCATTGAAGCCCTAGACAAACAGTGCATTCAAACTCAATACATCAGGATCCTCCGTGAACTGTATCTCACCAATCTACAAGGAAGTGATCATTCATGTCAAGAAAGGGGTTTGGCAGGGTGATACCATTTCACCGAACTCTTCAGTGCCACCCTCAAGAACGTCATACAACGACTGGAATGGGAAGGAATGGGAGTGAAGATAGACGGTCGGCAACTACACCACCTCCGCTTCGCTGATGACATCATTATCATAACACCAAACATTAGCCAAACAGCACAAATGCTGGCTGACTTCAACTGTGAATGTGGAAAGGTCAGACTACAGCTGAATCTCATGAAGACAATGTTTATGAGAAACGGTCTTGTTCCTAACATTCCATTTGCTCTCAATGGAACGAACATCTCCAAATGCAACAGTTATGTGTACCTCAGTCGAGAAGTCAACATGCAAAGACCTGCACCTGACTTGCACAGAAGGAAGAGAGCAGCTTGGAATGCCTTCAAGAGCATCGAAGAAATAACTAACAGGATGAAGAACCTCCAGCTCTGGGCACATCTCTTAGATTCCACTGTTCTTCCTGAATTAACATATGCCTCAGAGACCTGAGCCCTACGAAAACAGGATGAGAATGCTATTCAGGTCTCCCAAAGAGGAATCGAAAGAGCTATGCTTGGAGTATCACGCTTCACTCAAGTGAGAGAAGGAATTCGGAGTTCTGACCTCCATCGAAGATCAAGAATCAGGGATGCTGTCTTGTTTGCCAAGGCATCAAAAATCAGATGGACTGGACACATAATGAGATTTGGAGATGACTGCTGGACTAGAGCCATTACTGACTGGATTCCATGGGATGCCAAAAGATCATGTGGCCGCCCACCTACAAGATGGTCAGACTTCTTCATCAAGACCCTGAATGATCAGTTTGAAGCTGTTCATGTACCTAGAATGAGCAGATGCCATTGGGCTACACTAGCGTGCAACTGGGACGAATGGAGACGTTACTGGCACCTGCTCATGCAAATCAATGAGTAATGGATGTCAAGTGATCAAGTGATCAAGTGATTTTGACACTATTAATTCCAGGGAAGAGAGATGAAGAAAGCTGCCTTTTGTGGAAGAAAACACACAATAACTAATACAAAACTGTGTTGGGAGTTAGAGAGGCAATGAATGGATGCTGCTATAAGACTTTGAGACTTTTTTTTGTTTGTAGCCAAAAATGTAGCCAGTCTTAAAGTTCCTCCAATATAAGAATGAAATTTTCCAAAAAAGTATTTAGAGGTCCATAGTGTTTTAAAACATTTAAAAGGCTAGTGAACACTGCTAAAGGACAAGGAAAGATTTCCTGCCCAAACAAACACAAGATATGTTCTTGGGGTACCCACCCATTAGGCACTGTCTTGTTAGCCATCCTCTTCTTGAAAGGGTTGCTAGAAATTCTGATTTGTGATTCTATGTTTTTACCATTGATCCTGGAACAGCATGGAAGTTAGGGATGTGATCCATCTCTCAGTAAAAACTGTATTTATTTTGATTTGAAGACCATACCTGGCAATGCTTAGGCTTTTTCCCCCCTCTTTTAAAAATTTTTACAAACTGCCTGTTACTGACAAAAACTATTGATCAACATATCCTGCATGTTGTGTATATACCATATTATAGTAATAATAATTTTTAGAGAGTGTCTTGGTTATGAAAACTCCTGGGTTCAACTTCTAGGATGGTGGTATGCTTGCCACCTCACCTTCAAATAAAATAAGAAAGCAAACTATAAGCAAGAGAAAATATATCTATAGTACTGTACAAGAGTTATATAAAAGTTTACACCATCTTCTTATAAAAAACCTGTAAGTGGACCTGTGTATCAAACCCAAGTTATTTAAGGTTTCAATAAAAATCTTACATTTGAGTTTTATGAAATAAAGATTTTTTTCCCTGTCAAATATATCACGTATTTCTTAATGAGGCAGACCTCTGCTTATTACAGGTAGAACTGGAGAAAATGTTCATAGAAATGATGTGAAAAGATGAGTATGAAGAGAACTTGATAATTTCAATGTTTTTTCACACCTAGCCCAAGATGGTTTTGTCCATTTTCTCCACCTCCATCATTTCCTAGCTGAGAGCAAAAGCTTAAAATAATTTCAACTATACAAATTCTAAAGGTGATGTGAGCTCCACATTCCCCCTATATATTTCTTGTTTCTCCATAGTCATTTTTTCAGCCATACTGCTCACTGGGGTTTTAGAACCCATTCTAAGCAAATACCTCTACTGTCTAGTAACATTTAGTGAGCACTTTCTACATGTCAACATCATTTTAACTATCCTGTGTAATGTGTAATGTAACTCACAAAATCTTCCTCCAAACCTATTAGTAGATTCTGCCCTTCAGTTGCTGTTATTGGTGAAGACACCCAAAGATAAGTTAATTGTCTAAAATAAGGCTGTGGTCTCAGCTCAAAGGTTCTGACTGGGTGATAACATACACCTCTGACCACAACCGCATATTCCTGCCATGAAATATTTCTTGCTTTCTGCTCAAGTTCATGAATTACTGATTTTACTCAGTCAGGCATTAGTAACTTGGCTCAGACTCTTTTCGGGTTTGATCTCCTTTTATTCTTCAGCTATACCGGAAACCCACCTCACAGAGTAGAAATGATCACCCCCTTAATTGTGTCTTTCCAAGATCCTCTACAAACTTCTGCTACAGGCACCAGTGATGCTAGTTTTTAAGTATTTGTCTAAAATTTGTCTGCTGCCCATGTTCTTTTTATCCGGGTATTAGGTCCAATATGGAACACACATATGGAAGGACTCCTATGAATCTCTCTTGTGAACACTCGTGATCTACCTCCCAGGACTCGAAAGTTCTCACTAACTAATAAAATAAAGCAAAATACCAACCAGCTGGTCCCCCCTAGGATGAAACTGAACCCCAGTCAACCTGATTTTCTAGAGTTTACGGTGTTGTTTTCTAAAGGTGACATCAATGATACTCAATGATCTTGACTGCTCTTGAAACCATCTGTGTGCCTTTGAAAATTGTTTTTAAAATAAGTCTTGAGGCTGGAGAGATAGCACAGCGGGTAGGGCGTTTGGCTTGCATGCAGCCGACCCAAGTTCGATTCCCAGCATCCCATATGGTCCCCTGAGCACCGCCAGGAGTGATTTATGAGTGCAGAGCCAGAAGTAACCCCTCTGCATCCCTGGGTGTGATCCAGAAAGCAAAAAAAAAAAAATTAATTAATTAATTAAATAAGTCTTATTCCTGAAGATCTGTGATTGGTTGACACAGGTGATCATAGGGATTCTTTTTTTTTTAATTTTATTGAATCACCGTGAGATAATTACAAGCTAGAGATTCTAATGTGCAGTTAGGGTTGAAAATTTTTTGTACTTTCTTCCTGGTCAGAGTATGGTCACCTGAGGACTTGTTATGAGTTGGCATTCTCAGTCTCTGCTCCAGAACTTACAAAATAATCTCTAGAGTTGGGAAAATAGCACAGCATGCATGTAATGCTGTTTTGATCCCTTGGTACCAAAGCACATATCCTATGACTGATCACCTACAAGGCCTCTGAGCATAGACAGAGTAGTCCTGGTTAGGCCCAGTTTTATGAGGATTTCTGAAATTGACCCACAGGCCACTTCTCACTGCATGGAAAGCCTCTAAAACTAAAACTAAAAAAATAGAATATGAATTGCT